CTGACACTGCTGATCATGAGAAGGAAGGACCGAGAACCAGAAAGCGCGCACACAAACCAGTAGCAATTCCTCCCGACCTCCCTGAAGACGAGTCTGAGAGGGAAGAAGATGGTGAAGAAGATGATGAAGAAGAAACCATGACTCGGAAAGGCCGCAAACGCAAGCGTAGAAAGGGTTCGTCTAGTACCAAAAGGAAGAAGAAGCAAAGCCTGCAAGCTGCGTCTGGTGGGCTTCCCCCAAGCACCAGGACAGGAAAGCAGAAGGCAGCCAAAAGATAGGATTGATGAGTACGTATGGATTTGAGGCCTCTTATCCCATATTCTCAGTGCATTGCTTAAGTGCCTTCCTAGCTCTCGTTCTCAAGTCTATCCTTGCACCCTTTTACCGTTCGACCTCATGATTGACGATTTCTGCATGTAAACTTGTTTCTTCATAGCACTGAGATTATATCATTTTTATTATACATTTATGGGTGCGATATTTGAGTGGATAGTGGACGTGAGGGGGACACTCAATAGATGCGGAAGGTGGGATGTAAGCGACCTTCCAAGTGACCTTCACCGATCCATCACCCTTCGTAAGCTCCCCTGCCTTTCAATTTTCTTCTGAGATGTTTGTGAGATTGAGAAAATGCCTCCTTAGCAAGGCGACGTAGCACGAAAGCACTTGTCAAATGCGGGGTAACCTGTGACATGTCAACCTCATGATATCCAGTCTCTTTGTGCTTAGTGATCAATGAGAGGAAATCATCAAACGCTTGTTGGTTGATTGGGCTTGATGCTGTATCAGAAGGATGGATTACAGCCTCACCCAACCTCACTGCACAATCAAGCACCCTTCGTAATTGGACCTATGGATGTCAGCATACAGACTGTGACCTCTAGGCTCCACTTACAATGCAATATGCCGCATGTTCGACTTGGATATCCTCATCATGTTGCACAAAGGTCGGTTTGGAATGGTACAGGTTAGCAGTTGAGGGAACGCCCATGATAGTCGATACACGGCTATCCAATGGTAAAATCAAAGTTGGATGAAGACAAGTACTGGAGAGTGGATGTGATGGTGGATCCAATGGCAATGGCAACGTTGGTGTCTGGGCACCACTTTCAACCGGTGAGAAAGGTAAACAATGATTTCTCTTCACCAAGTGTGGATCATATC